TTTTGAGGTCCATTCCAACCCAAACCATTCCAGAATCCCCCAATTCTCCCAGCCCACCTCCCCATGGAGCACCACACAACCCAAAAAGGACATCTCTAAATGAAGACACGTTGTCCAAGCAGGACCAGACGCCCCAATTTCATCCCAAAACTGCCCCTGACAGAGAGGACTTTGCTCTGCAGGAATTTTGGGTTTTTCCTAAGTCAGCTCCAGCAGGAGCATCCCATGTTCCCAAAGGTGATCCTGGAGGGGAAATCCCCAGGACCAGAAGGAAATTGGGAATCTGAAGGAGGTGGGGCTGTGAACAAGCCCTGCTCGTGCCCTTCAGGCTGCACTGGGGTCGGTTTTTTGCATCACATCCCAAATATTGCACCCCAAGAGCCCCATGGGGCCAGGAGTGACTCAGGATTGCAGAATCCACCCCTGGAAAACATGGGAAGAACACTTTCCCTCAGCCACCACCCTGATCTCACAGAGCAGCCACGTCACTGCCTCAACTCATCCCCAAACCCTTCCCAGAAAGTCCAGAATTCTCCATGGGAGGGGTAGGGTGGTAAAAACCCACATGAAACCCCAAATCCTGAGGTGGGAGAGGAGCCCAGCACTGGCTGGGTGTCCCTGGAGCCAGGGCAGCAGTGCCAGCCCATCCAGCCCATCCAGCCCAGCATTCCAGGTGCCTGAGCCGCAGGAATTGCCCCAGGATGGTCCCAGGAATTTGGGGCAGTTCTGCTGGGCTCCTCCTCCTCCTCACAAACCCCCACAGCAACAACATTTGGCTTTGGGAGCCTGGCTGCCCACTGCTCTGTGGGCTCCAGGATGCAGAGATGGAATTCAGGGCCAGGAACCATTTCCCAGCCTGGCCAACTGTGTGGAAGTGCAGCCCAGCAGGATCCGAGGATGCATCCCCTGAAATCTGGGAATGTGGGATTGATCCTCTGGTAAAACCACTGGTGAATCCAGCAGATGCCACCTGAGCTCTGCAGCTTTCCAAATCCTCTCACCTCCAGAATTCCAGCTGGGGATTCCTGCCCCTCTCCCTGATCCCACTGCCATCCCCGCCCTGCATCCTGAATTCATTCCATTCTGCCCAGCTCTCATCTGCTGCTTTTCACTGCGCTCCTAAAACGGCGAGAGGGCTGGTTTTTGTGTTTTTTGGTTTGTTTTGTTGGGTTTTTTTTATTTTTTTTTTCCCCTTCCAAAGGCTGCTTTGCAACTTTGTGCTTTCTCTGCCATTAGCAAAGGGTGGAAATTTCCACTGACGCACTGTTGATAAGCCAAGGAGAGCAGGGGGGGAAGGGAGGATGAGCTGTTCCAGCAGATCTTTCTGACTCCTCTCAGGAAAAGGTATTTTATCAGAATTGCAGGCGCTGGGAAAAACGTGGGGTTTCAAAAACAACCACCTCTCTCCAACGTGAGCAAGATTGCCTCCCTGTGCCACGACAAAACAAAGGGAGAGAGAGAGAAGGCAGAGAGAAGCAGCGTAAAAAAAAAAAAATTTAAAAAAAATTTTGATTTCTTCAGGAAAGAAAGAAGGGCTGGAAAAACAATGAGCAGCACAACAGACATCCCTGAGGAGATCTGAGCCCCTTCCCCTCAAACCTGCACACTGAAATCAGCTGCCAGGAGGCCAGGGGGGTTTGAAAGCCTCAAACCTTGGTTGCAGGCAGTGATCTGTGACCCCACACTCTGCTGTTCGTGCAGTAAACAACCCCAAATCCCAGCGAGACAAAGCCAGGGAAAAATACAGGAATGCAGCAGGGAAAGCACCTCGTTCTTGCAAGGAGAAATGCAAAAAGCATTTGTGCTGTCCAGGAGTCACCAGGGGAGAAATGCAGGAAAATTCCACTGATTCACCGTGAGCCCACAGTTATTTTTGTCCTCCTGCTTGACTGCAAACACAAGGATGATTTAAATGCAGGGGAGCAGACTGGAACACATTAAAACAATGCATTAACTCCAAAAAAAAATTAAAATGTAAGACGGTCTCGAATAAAGGAGGATATGCCTTTGCATATGAGGGAAATTAAAAAAAAAGGACCAAAAAAAGAGCTGGGTTTCATTTCTCAAATTTACCAAATTCAAGCCAGAAATTGTTTGAACCTCGAGTCCTAAGGATGCTCAAATCTGTTGCTTTCAGGTGGCCAGGGTAAGACTTCAAGGATCCTGGATGAAAATTCCCTTTGGAATCCTCCTGGAACACAACTCTGGGCCAAGGGGAGCAGTGAAGATGTGGTGGCCTTGGAAGAGGCTGTGGGGTCCCAAGGTTTTGGCCCCAAAACGTCTCCCTTGTGAGATGGTGGAAGATCCAAAGGAAAGAAAATGTTCTGAGGAACAGCAGAGGAGAAAGGAGCAGAAAACACCTGGAGGAAACCACAGCAGGAGCAAGAGGAGCTCCACGTTGTCCTCATTAAGGTAATTCCACAAAAATAATTTTTTTTAAATGTTTGCTACCTGAATGTTCATTTTTAGGACCATGGAAATGGGGGAATTTGCTTTGTCCCTCCTCAGCGGGGCAAGCTCATGGATTGTCAGAAGGACCAGGACAAGTGTTGCCTTTAGCTTTTACAAATATGGCAGTGGAAATTCCTTGAAAATCTGGCAAGGACCAGATCCAACCCAAAAGTTGGACTTTAATGACCAAAACTGAGCCACAGCAATGATGGGAATGATCCAGAGGGAGCTTGGTGAGAGATACACCCACAGCCCCAGCAATGGCACTTCCCAAATTCCATCCACAGGCACCCGGTGCTCAGCTGATTGACTCATGGAAAGATGTTTCATTAATTCAAAGATCATTAAGAACAAAAGAAATTAAAATGAAAGTCAACCCCCCCCCCCCAAATGGTGGCTGGTTGCCACCCCACCAAGCCCAGTGGCCACCACACTCAATAAAAGAGCTTTCACAAGGGTGCCACAGGATTTGGGGCATTCTGGTGCCCTCACAGCACCAGCTCTGCTCAAGGCCTCTAAAAAGCACCAAAATTCCAAAGGGCACTTCCACAGCTCAGGGGGAAAGGAGAAAACATCCCAAACACTGCAGGGCTTTGATCCCATATTTACATGGGCAAAAGTAATGGCTCAACTCATCAATGAAGAAAGCCCCATCTAGTGGAAGAAGACAATCAGCTGAGCAGAAAATACTCCAAATGTGCCTAAATCCACAAATATTCCAGCTGCCTTTGTTCTCCTCCAAGGGCACTGCACAGCCAGGACACTTTTTTTGCCCAAACAGCTCAAGATGTTCTAAAATCCAAACAGCAACAAAAAGTTGGGTTGGGAATTAAATTTAAATTTATTTTGAAGGGGGGTTAAGTGAGGAAAAGAGTTCCTTTTTCAGATTAATTAAGCTCCTTTCATGTGTTTTTGTTTTGCCCTCTTTGGTCTTCAAGAGCCATGAAAGGCATCAAGAGGCTCCACTTGAGCGAGGCCAAACACGTTTGGAGAATAAAGAAAAAAACATGAACTGTGCATAATTTGGGTTCAACAAA